ACTGGCGACTTTGTAGTACAACTTTAGTACGCGGAGTAGCTGTGGAGCTGGAAGCTGAGAACTGGCGAGTTTCTAGTGCAACTTTAGTACGCGGAGCAATCTGTGGAGCTGGAAGCTGAGAACTGGCGACTTTGTAGTACAACTTTAGTACGCGGAGTAGCTGTGGAGCTGGAAGCTGAGAACTGGCGAGTTTCTAGTACAACTTTAGTACGCGGAGCAATCTGTGGAGCTGGAAGCTGAGAACTGGCGACTTTGTAGTACAACTTTAGTGGAAGCTGAGAACTGGCGAGTTTCTAGTACAACTTTAGTACGCGGAGTAGCTGTGGAGCTGGAAGCTGAGAACTGGCGACTTTGTAGTACAACTTTAGTACGCGGAGCAATCTGCGGAGCTGGAAGCTGAGAACTGGCGAGTTTCTAGTACAACTTTAGTACGCGGAGTAGCTGGGGAGTGGGAAGATGAGAACTGGCGACTTGGTAGTACAACTGTAGTACGCGGAGCAATCCGTGAGCTGGAAGCTGAGAACTGGCGACTTTGTAGTACAACTTTAGTACGCGGAGCAATCTGTGGAGCTGGAAGCTGAGAACTGGCGACTTTGTAGTACAACTTTCGTACATTATGCCCCATATTGCGGACGTGCGACAACCGCTGGTGTTGTTGGCTAGTTGTGGCTGCGCACACCTGTGTGCACAATACCTCGTACATCCGTCGTGCGCACCACTCTCTTACACCTTCTCTCCCACCCCTCTGTTGTCGGAAGCTGATATCACTTCCTGACAAGGCCGTGTTGTAGAAGCTATTGAGACTCTGACTGCTTTGTGCTTTAGAAACTTAAGATTCGTAAAGACTCATATTTGGGGTTTTCCGGTCCTTTAATTTCGGGTGTTTAAAGAGAAGAGCAAGAGTCTAGAGCTAAGCTGGTGGGCGTCCGGACCGGAATATAATCCATTCTTGACACCCGTGGGGAGATGATTTTCACCCCAAACTTGGCACCATTTTGTAGCTTAGGTCCGGACTTACTGTATCCCCCTCTTCAACTTGCCCGTTCAAATCCCCATGTGCACACCATGTTCAAGCATGTTTGCCAAGCACTTGGCTCTCTCTCGTGCGCTCACTGGTCGTCCCCCTCTCTGGACTTCCTTTTGCAACACCTCAGGTTACCCTCTTGAAACTGGGCGCGGATCCGGAGAAGAAGACCTACACGGGCCACACCCCAATAGAGGCCAGACATCAAAAGTGTGATCTGACCCAGCCGATCTTGTGATGTTTCTCTCCCTTGTGGAGGCTGTAAACCAAGATTTCAGGAGGACCTCCTGGGACCGACCTGGTTGAGCGATGGCCTCCAACCTACTAGCAACCTCCCGGAATCATTTCAGGAAGGCTTACTGACCCAACATGGTTCTTGGCGCTCTCGAGCAGATCTCGCTTGATTTGGTTCGTTGCCATGTCGAAGATGTCACAACATCCCTCGGAATGAACACACATCGAGACTGACACCACTGGATTCCGGAGTTAATTCTTTTGAGGACTCCGCTATATTGGTAATTCTCGTTGACCTTATTTAACATGTGTAAGCTCAGGGATGAGTGTTCACCGTGCAGAATGGCAGAACTTGGTGTTTTGCATGGAGGTCGCTAATGCCGTGGACCCTTCTCAAGCAGAGAAGATGCGCCTGGCAGCTATAGGCATGGAGGGATGAAATGATGTGGGTCACAAAGCCTAGCACAAGGTCAATCAAGTGGAGGTGTCAGTAATTTGCCTTGAATAGACACATCACCACCAATTGTTCGCCATCACTGTTGTGTGGCCCAGGCCTGGGTGTGGACCCCCAGGCCTTGTCCCCTCAACTTGGGTGGAGTAGCCCCGCCTGTTTGCCTAGTAGTGCAAGGGGGGATTGAGGTCCGACGCGTGGAGGGCCCGAAGGCGGCCGTCCATTCCGCTCAGTCCCTCTATTCGCTCAAAGTCTGTCACGCTGTTTCAGACATGAACATAGCAATGGCTTCGACTCATGCCAGAAAAGACGTAGTGGATGCATAGCAACATGTCTGGAATTTCAGTCAGTTGAAGGCTCCGTAGTAGTAACATTCTATCTATGGTTGCCCGGAAGGCGCTCGGGCAGTGTGACGAAGGCGTTGGTGGCTGGCTCCCTGGTGGCTTCGGGGGGTGGGGGTTGGGGCCTAGCCGCCCAGCCTATGTAGATCTCAAGTGGTTTTCTTATTGCCAACTTAAGGATATGAACGTTATGTTCATTCATGCCGAGCCGAACAGTTCTGTGAAAGCCAACGTTCGGCAGCAACGGACTTTCACACCTGAAAGTGCATGGAGAATTCACCAAATTTACCCACAGGATCCCACAGGTTTCTTCTTGTTGATATACAATATTTGCATCTGCCATATCTATCTATAATATACTTGTTCTTTGGATTTAGCATGTGCTTGATACTATACAATTACTTGACACTTGTGCTCGTGGAATGCAAGAGCATCCACTCTTCTGCTCGATATGAGGGCGAATTTGGTAGTGTTCCTAGCACTTGGCTCGAGGCATTGGTCAGCTGCCAAGCTGAATAGCTTAGGCTTCAGTGCGTAGCACTGGAGTCTGTAGACATGATACGCAGGTACGCCTTCGGTTTCATGAATACTCTAGACTCTAGACTCTAGCAAAGAGTTTTGGGTCTTGCCGGCAAGTTGCTGTTGCCGGTCATGTGTCTTGTTGTTTTTACTGTGGCCTGTCTCGTTCATCATCTCGAAAGCCGGTTTGTTGGAGTCCTCCCCAGGCCGGACGTGAGCGCCGTTTGAATGGCAAAGACCATGGACCGCACGCCGATGAGATGGAGATGGACACTGACAGTTGAACACGCTTATGGTTCAGCGTGTCCCACCTTCTTTCCAAAAAATTGTGGTTGGATCATTTTGGCGAGCGGTGGACAATTCATGCTGTCGAAAGAGTGGCAAGGACTGCAAAATGAGCCTTCCTTGCTAAAAGGACCCAAAAAAGGTCGACGCAACCCCTTCAAGTCAAACAAATCTGAATGGGGTGCTACTAGTTGCTGAGTTTCGTGTGGGTTGTCCAACACGCTGTGAATGCTCACCGAAAAGAGGCGACTGAGCCTGGCTGTGGTGTGTCGAAGACAAGTGTTTTGCATTCCTCAAGTCTTTATCGCCCAGCAAGTGTTTTACATTCATAAAGTCCAAGCAAATGAGAGTCATCGTGCATATCGAGTGCATCTCACGCGCCAGCATTGCCACCACATGGCTCTGAATTACGACCTGGGTGTCTACTTTGAGGCTGCGCGCCGGCATGGCGCATTGCCACCACTTGGTCGGACGACATGGTTCTGAACGGTTCGCACTCTGGCTTGGATGGCTGTGGCTTGTGCCATGCGACCGACCGATCGGTGGCGGTTCAGGCGAACGGCCACGGCACCCTCCTGTTCAGCCAGAAGGCGATCGATCGCATGCAGCCAGGGACCTTAGGGACCGGTTGGGTCGCGGATGGTCGCGACGAGTCCACGACGCGCCGTGCAAGACCGTCCAGGTCGATTGCCAACACCGGAGGTGGCCGGCGGCTGAACACATCCTGCCGAAGTGTCGTCACTTGAGGGCTTTGTGGATCTGAAGTTGGCGTTGACTTTGGCAATATGTTCAAAAGGAAACACTTGACTGGATGCTCAAACCAAAGCCTTAGCTCACAGCTTTAAACATACTTTCGAAAGCGTCACGGCCCAGCCCATGCAACCACGCCTTGACCGGATGAAAGATTGAAGGATCTCAGGGAACCAATGTGTCTACTGAGAAACGTCCATTGATATATCTACTTTGGCTGTTTTGGCACCATTCAGAATCCTTTTTTCACAGTACGTGCCGAAGTTGAGCGCAACTTGACTTCAGTCGCACTGGAAACAACAAGAAAGAAGATGGACATACTAGTAAAGGGTTGTACTTATTCCGAGCATGGAAGAATTCAAAGAATCGTTTCTGACTTTCTGAACCAGTTTCCATCAGTTTCCTTTGCATCATGAACCTCAGCCAACAGCCCTTCCGCATGGCGCTGGCTGCACCAGTGAATGTCAGCGGTCTTCGTGCAGTCCGCGCTTGAGCCAAGCAGCCCTTTGTGACGCAGGCGGATACACGGTGGATTGACGCACGGCGGATACACTTCTGCAGCTGAAGCCATTGAAATTCCCATGACCCTGCATAGGTTTTCAGAGATAAGTAAAGCCACAGGTCAAAACAGTTCAAAAGGATTCCAAAGGACATATGTCCCGAATCGCTTCCAAGTTCATAAATCTGGACTCGTCCATCTCGAGGTACCAAATGAGGCAGCAAAGGGCGTTGTTTTCGGTACACCAGCTTGGCTTCTTGATGCCAGGTGTCACGACTCTCACGCCTGCTTTCTCCAGCTTTGATTTCTGCTGGATTGCTAACAGGCTGGGACATGGGTGGTGCCAAGGAGTTGCACATGGGCTCCATGCACAAAAATCCGGGTGTCAATCAACCTGCAGCGCAGACGATCTCAGGCTTCAGGACATGTGGTCGGCAGCCCAGGCGGGAGAGCTTGGCCATGATGCCATGGTGGCTTTGCGTTTCTCGAAATGTTTGAGCGGTGAGGGAAGTGAAGCAAAGAGCTTTACTAAAGCAGCGAGCAAATAAACAAATGCAACATCTAGTCTAGAAGCACAGCACAGCAGGTAAACTACATACAGGCGGTTCCAGGTTTCCAGGCTTCTGTATGCAAGCAGACCTGCCCAGTTGGCTTCCAGGCTCCGCCTCGCTGCCACCACGCGGGTCACCGTGTCGCAGGCGCGTCTCGCGCGTATCGCTTCGGGGTCACGGGTCGGCCGGTCGTGCGGGAAGGCGCACGGTACTCTCCCTGGAAGTAACATTGAAGTGGATGGCACCTACTCTCCACGTGGTGGATTTCATGGTCTTCCAAGAGGCCAGAACGTCCACTTCCATGTTAGTTCCAGGGAGTGTCAGTTAGGTGAGATATTGTGAGTGCGCAGGGGAGTTAGCCTGGGTAGCCGTAGCCGCAGCCTGAAAACGAAGACGGACTGGGCAGCTGGGCTGGGCTTGTTCGGACTGTTTTCCCAACCAACTGGTAGTTTAGATTAGTTTAGTATATCTATCATTATTTATCTATGATACTTTTGTTTCTATCTTCATGACTGAACTTCATAAAGCATGCTTAACGGACGGCTTACAGCTTCTGTGAGAGTCACAGATGTCTGATGTCTTAAAGGACTGGCTTGACGACAACGCGGAAAACAAAAACGAGAGGACAATGTGGCGCTGGTCTTTCTGAAGCCACATGCATCAACGCCAAGGGCAGGAAGCTGAGGATTCGCAGTTCTGCTGAAGACGTCTTCGTCGAAGCGTCTTTCCGTTTTCACCAGGTTTCTCAGCACACCCGCATTGGCATAGCTGCACATAGCTGCGCAGAGCAGCTTACCGATCGCCAAGGTCAGGGAGCTGATCCCTCACTTTTTGGAGGAGCAGGGTATTAAGGCGATGGCTCTCACCGGCAATTGTTTCAGCTTCTTTCATCAGCAGCTGGATGAAACAAGTTACTTCAATGTTCGTTCGTTTAGCAAAGCTGCAAAGGGCCTTATATTTCATGTCAGGACTTTTTCTTGAAATTCTTGAAGTTCCCATTCACTTTCCACGCACTCCCGCCGAGGTCATTTGTTAGTTCGCACATGTATCTTGACCGATGGGGACCTCCTCGAACCTGTTCCCACAGACAGAAAGATAGTGAGAAACCGTTTTTTCATGTCTATATATATATATACTGTATATACTGTATATATTACTCTTTTTCAACCCCCCATATGAAGTGGTGTTATTCAATTGGGGGGGCTATTATGATCCACGAACCTTGTGATGTGAACAAAAGAGATCGAAGGTCTTGCGATCGGGCGTGGTGGAGTCCAAGGAGATTGAGGACGCAACAAACACTCTGCGGAACGTTTTTCTGTGCGTTTCGGCAACTAGAAGGAGCCTGGAAAATTGTTGGAACTGATGTCATCAGTGCTTGTTTGGTCGGAATGGATCAATGGCCTGGAAGAGAGACTTAGCGAACTGCAAGGCACGCCTCCGTCCTGATATCAAAAGTATTATCAAGACCACTCTGCAGCCTACTGATCGAGGATGAAAGCAGAAAGTGCACGGCGGTCCGGTGATGTTCGCCTAGCAGCCGAATTACTTTTCTCCCTTGCCTTGTCTAAACATGACTGGTTCGGTAAGGCTCTAAAATTTCCCGTTTGTCTCCAAACCTGAGGTAGGCATCGCCACCGCGGCACGTTGAGATAATCAGTTCGTTCATGTTCGTTCCAAACTTCCACTCCTTAGGTCCTTCCCTTCGTGCCAGGAGAAGGGCATCATTGACGCACACTATGCAGCCATTGCCGCTGTTGGAATGGTTGGAGCCTCAGCACAGCGCCATCCGCCCAGCAGCGCCATCCGCCAGCAGCTGTCAGTCCAGTGCTAAGGCCCGAGACATGAGCAAGCTCCGCCCGGCACTCGCACTATCGCACCGAGACGAAGTCATGTGTGATGGTCTGGGTTCGTCTCGGGCTGGAAACCGTGACTTTCACAGATTTGCACCACCTGTTGAAGGAGTTGGAAGCAACCCACTTCCAGCACCTGACAGAAGTTCATCTGTCAGTGTCTTTGTCCTCACATGGTCTTTCCTGAGGCCTGGACGAAGTTGCACAGAAGTTTGAGGTTTATGGGAGGTGCGAGCAGTTCGATGTCCGGTCGATCAGACCAGACGCTGGGAAATTGCACGAAGACATGGATGCAACCCACCGGGAGGAGAGACTCTCGCATCTCTGTGCTTGGTCGATCTCCTTGGTGCCAATGGTTATGCTGTTCTGAACATGGTTTTGTCATCAGATTATTTTCACAAACCACAGCGGTCGTGGCCTTCCAATCCCAGGTTGTTATTTTGAGACACATGCACTATCACTAGCCAGCATCAACGAATTCCGGTTCAGCCAAGTGCCAATGCAGTCTTGAGAGTTCCACTTCTTGACTGAACTCCGGTCGCCTCGCGGAAGACGAAGCATTTGGGTTGAACGCGTCTCCTGCGGCATCGCCACCGTCGCGTCCGACCGCCACGGCAGGAGTTTGAAGGATGCCATGGAGCGAGAGGAAGTCTGCAGCAGCGTTCAAGCCATGGAGGTCGGTAACTCGGTGAAAGGAATGGTCGACAGAGCTCAGTGAGAAAGGAGGAACGCCACAATAATTCGGTTTGCTTTTGCCTAATGTCTAACACCATGAACTTACAAAACAACTTAGCATTCGGAAGTCTAACAAACATTTCTTGTGAGTTACCATGTCTAGCAACAACATCGGTTTGTTCCAGCTAGCACCATAATTGGACTCAATATATCAGCATGATGATCCTGATCATGTGCGGTGGTCTCAATCAACCACTCAAATCTATCCCGAGCAACTCATCAATGAACTTGGATTGACCGTGCACCAAATGGCACGACACACACCTCGTCAAATGGCACGCCCCGTTGGGTTTTGAAGTGCAGCTGGACATACCCAGCCTGGACATAGGATCTGGTACCTGGACCCGACCCGTGCTCCTTCTCTGCGCGCGCGAGATCTTGGATGTGGATCCCTCTGAGCTGCTGCGGCGATGCTTAGCTGCAGGCTATGAGAAGCTGAGGCCAGGCACTGCGGGAAGCTTCCCGGGCCAAGCGTGTGCATGTTCTTTAAGGTTCGATCTGCAGATCTTGAAATCTGACATTTCAGACATTGTGAGCATCGGTTGAAACATGTTCACATCATTTCATATCTATTCATCAATAATAGAAAACGAACAGCACATGTTCAGCTCATTTAGAGGCTCGAAAATCCGGGATTCCCTTGCTCCAGATGTTTCCGGCCTGGATTGCTCTTGTCGATTTAGACGCTTCCTCTCGTGGAAGCCTTTTGCTCTCGGCTGGCAGCGCGCCAACGGCGCCAACTCCAAGCTCATGTCAGCACTAGAAACCCATTTGTGTACGCCGATCCACTGTGTCATTCAAATCCACAAATTGGCTGTGTAGCAAAGTCGAGCCCTCAAGTGAGAAGACACCACAGAACAGGAACAAACTTCACACAGTCCAGATGCAACAAGAAACTCTACAGAAGTGCTCAGCACGGGATGTCGTCAGGTCAGGATTATACTGTGCGCGCTTGGAAGGTGGCAAGACTGGAGAGCGGCCCAGCAGCATTGCCGAAACCAACACTGCCACAGGGCGATGACTCAGCTTACGACTTGGATCCACCATATGTAGGCTCTTGATAAACACACCACCCATTTGAATTGAAACACCTCTATAGAACCAAGAGTCTACATTCAGGAGTCCTTCCATCCAGTCATCCGATCGGCTTGAACTACCCCAGCCGAACAGCAGGACTCAGTCTCCTGTTCGGAAAAGACGTGAAACAACTTGGTGGTTTTTCCACAAGGCGGTTTACCCCGTTGAGCCAGGTCCACCTGTGGGGGCTTCCAGAGTTGAGTGAATTGCTTTGGACTAAGGCTGTTCGTGCTGAACGGCTTCTACTCGCGAATGCGTGAGAAGCCGATTTCTGAGAGCCCAGAGGGGGCCAGTACTGCAGAGGAATCTATCCAAATCGCAAGGAACAGTTAAGTGTACATCAGATATCATCATGTATCCGGAATGCACAATGCTGATCCGGGTCAATCCTTGGCTGGTTGTGGTGGAAGCCCGGAGATCCTTTCACTGATCTTTACAGGTCCTGTCGCGCTGTCAGCAGCAAGAACGTTTTGATTCCAGGATCATCTTAATGAAAGACGAGATTTTAATTGCAACGGGGACTAGTATGTTTTATATTTTATGTTTTCTTTTCTTTCTCTTTCTCTTTCCCTTTCTCTCTCTCTCTCTCAGATTGTTATTGTGTCCCATTTCTCCTCGAGCCCCTCATGAGGTTTACCGCTGAAGGTGTTACAGTACACTGGCATGTGGTAAGCTGGCCAGCTTCAAGGCTGCTGGGGGCCCCATGAACTACCAGGGGCGACTGGTGAGGATCAACACCATGGGTGCGATCAAAACATGGCGACTCGCTGCGGAGGGCGGAGGCCAGGTGGTCCAAAACGAAGGGGTTCAAAGGGTCCAACGAACAGAGGAAGTGGTCGTTCCACCATCGTTCGCATGTTTGACTGGAACACCTAAGGCTTTGATGCCATCGGCTTCCCAAGGTCTTGGGCTGACTTCAGAAGCACCGTCATCGGCGCAACGAATCCAAAGGCCAGAGAAGCAGTGGAATTAGAAGGTTTCCGCACAGCGGTCGATGCAAAGGTGAGCACTTCTAGTTAATTTGAGCAGACATGAGCTTGAAGATTGAACTAGAATCCTTTGTACAATTCGCAGGATGCTACAGATGGTTCGTTGAGAGCACGGACTGCGGAGAGTCAGAAGCACTCATTTACATTCATTTACCTATAGTTGTTCCATGTTTTTCCCCCTGTTTCGAGGGCAGCAGCTTCCTGCAAAGAACCCTAGCTCTCTTCCGTCCTTGCTACTAATAGCTTCCAAGTTTGCTAGCTGCCTAGTTCTGTCACACCCTGCTCTTGGCAACCTCCCTTGCTCGTTAGAAAGAATTACACAAGACAAGATGTTTAAGACTTCGCGGGGCTAAACATCAGGCAGAGATGTAGATACATCAAGCAGTGCCATTTTGGTTGCTTCTTGGGGTGGCGTATACAATAGAAACTGAGTGTGAAGAAGCCGATTGCTTTAGCTGTTTGCACCGACGGTCTTCCTTCGTCCACGGTAGCGCCCCGGGCCTCAGGGCCGAAACAGCCAGCCTCACCAGACCAACAGCACGGAGAAGTGTCAGATCAAGAGCATCCAAAGCAGAAGGATAAGGCCCGTGCCACCCTCACTGGATAAGCCCCCTGCGGATCACAGCAAAAGCCAAGCAGATCCCTGGGAACCGTTCGCATGTTCACATCCGCGGCCTGAAGACCATCTCGAATGACTGTTGAAGCAACTGACCTCGAGAAGCCCAGAAGCATCCACTTCGGCTCCTCGAGGCGAAGTGTTTTCTTGGTCGTCATGACGTGATGTAAGCTGTAGCTTCTTATGTTCTATAGCAACCTGTAAATGCCGGGACTGTGGCCCGGCCCTGTCCATGCCAGTTGTCAGTCTGAGACTGGCATGATGCATGGACTTCCAGTAGTTGCCTTGAAGAGACGTTCACCATAAGCATTGACCTAACGTCAAGTTGTTCGACAGATGAAGTGGTGCATTTCTTCGTTCACCGTTCCTGACGGTTCCTTGATGCGCCACACCAAACGGATGAACGAAGGCGGTAAAGTGTGTGTGAAGAAAGCACAGCTCATGCTGTTTGTTGAGTTTGGTCCGGACTCAGTTAAACTTATGTATAGCTTGTTTGCACCTGTCTTTGGGCTTGATGGTTTGCTTTCGGAGTACACACATTTCCTCTTGTTCTTTTCTATATACTTTGACTTCAGAAAGTGCCAAAGATGCAGAGAATCTACCCCAAACAACACAAACAACCACGACCAGACCTCAACATGACTGTATGAAGCACGTGACAGTCCAGGATCAGAGATGATTGGGAGGCTTTGGGATTGAAGGAGGAGACCAATTACCAGGTGCGCCCATCTTCCGGCACGGTCCGAAGTCTTTTTCGGACGGTCCGCAACGCGGGTCGAAAGAACCAAGTCAGTGCCGAGTGACATGTTGTCTTCCATTGGCTTAAGAAAAGAAGTCAGTAGTTCCTGTCCAATCTTGGACAGTTCCTCTTCAAAGACACGTTTGGTTTGCCACCTGTTCATCTTCAAAGTTCCCACGAGATCTTCAACTGTGCTCGTCCCTCTTCATACCTCTTGATGATGGGATGAAGATGAAGGGACATTTCAATACATTTGATGATTTTGCGGTGGGACGTCATGGGGCAGAAGACGTCATGGCTTGTTTCGTGAGGCACGTCAGTATATCTGAATCTAACAGAACTTTCTTTCTTCCTTTGGACCCTTTCTCCCTTTCTTTTCCGTTCTTTGTTAAGCCAAGCCGCTACGAGGACAATGGCGTGCATGCCTCTGCCGGGCCATTGGAGGCGCTTCGGGAGCGCATGGCCGGGGGCCTCAGAGTCGGGTCGTCGGTTCATGGTTTGTATGAAATTGGAAGAGTTGTCCAGAGGACTTTGGTTTCAATCTGTTTCAATCTGTTTCAATGATATATTGAAACATGAGGTTCTTGCTTGGCAATCCATGAAAAAAGAGGTGCTCTCTCTAGTGTAACGTCACCATCCTGGCCGAACAGTCGCCGCATGGTTGATGCTCTCCCGCGCAGTCACCGTGCGCCAATTCGGAGAGTGTTTGCATAGAGACTTGGTCCAGCACCCGCAAATGCGGGAAACATGAAACGTGCATCCGTTCAGGTTCATGATTCAATTATGTTTGATGTATATAGACTCTTCGTTAATAATAACCCCCGCAATTGGAGAATCGTCTTCAGATGGGGGGTTTATTAATCCAGAGTCTACATTAATTACTGAGATGTAGGGTGATGGCATCAAGTTGTAGAGCTGTTGAGGTTTGTTGATGAGGCAGGCTGTAGTGGGATGGCCAGGCTTCCTTCTGGGGTTGGTGCTGGAGTCGTTAGATATGGAACTTCCCAGGATGCGAAGCAAAGGTTGGCAGTGACTCCATATTTGTCTCACCCTTTGGCATCTTTCGGCCGGTCTCATGAGTTTGCTGGGATTGTCCAGCCGAACAGAACCGATGTGCTACCTAACCGATCATGCTCACACACCCGACCTTCCAGCTTGCAGCAAGCACACTACATGAGGACCCCAACAAGGCTACAAGACAAATCTGAGGCCTCAATATGGCCTCATAATTACACTAGGAGCAAGGACGCTACTAGGGGCTCCTGGCCGTACTATTAGGAGCAAGTAGCTACTAGTAACAATGTGCGCTACTAGGGGCTCCTGGCATCGCTACTAGGAGCAAGGACGCTATGAACGGGGCAGTGTGCATGTGCGTGCAGTCCGGCCAAGGCAGCCAGCCTACTGAGCCTCTTTGCCAGCCCCAACGCCCCACAACCATCTAAGCCATGCAAATACCACACCAAAAGAAGTGATTAACCAAGTTCCACACTCCTGCACATCAAGCATGGGCTCACTTTTCCCGCAGTATCTTCTCAGCACCAACCGCAGGGGATCAGGATGATTAAATTACATCGTTATTGCTTTTTTGGCAGTTTTAGGTCTACCATTTCCTAGTGGATAAGATTTGAGCACTGGGATGACAGATCTGGCAAAGGTGTGGCTTGGCGACGACATAGAAGCCGACAGCTTTGGCAGGGGACCACAGAAAGAATTCAGATGACACAACCTCTTGTGAAGGAATGGGCTTGTTGGTTTGGTTTCCTGCATGCAATCATTCAGCACTGCGGGGTGTTTCAGCCGCTCAGGACCACCTAAACCGCTCGCCGCTCTGGTCGTGCACCAGAGATGCTCAGGTTGTGCACTGGCATCTGCCTGTCCTATTGGTGTGAGACTCGAGCCGCGACACGGGTGGCGCGACACGGGTGGCGCGATCGTCACGTGTCGGTCGCTGTCGGTAGGTAGGTGTCCGTTGATGAGTCGAAAGGATGGGTGCTGTAGGTGTGAGCGCGTTGTCCGGGCGCTGTAGGTGTGAAAGGTGTGCCGTTGGATGGGTAGAATATGGTAGAATTTTTTGTTGTTCAGCAGCTCCTTGGAGACCTTGGATTCAGCACGTGGTGCTGCAGGTTTGAAGACCTTGGTGGAGAATCCGATCATCACAGTGGATGGGAAGACTGGTGGGGTGTCCCAAGAGATTCCAAGATGTGTCGGAGCTGCTCGTCCGCTCTTCCCTTCGGTGTTTCGATTGAAGCCCACGTATTTGTAGAAGCTGGGCGTACGATTTGTGCCTTCAATGTCCCCCTGTTTCAGGCCCCGCCTTCGATTTGCTAGAGGAAATGGATGCCAGCGAAAGCCTGGAGGCAGGGCCATCGCATATGGCCAGCCATTTTTGCAGCTATCAGACCCTCTCCTACAGTCACAAAACGTGCGAAGAAGCGTGTGACACAAAAAGGGTGCGATCAAGATGGTCCGTTCAGGACCTTTCATGCTCTCTTCCTCGAAGGCGATTGCACCTCCACCCAAAGCTCGTCTCGCCCTTTTCAATAACCAAATAGACCTAGCATCAGCCTGCGCCAGCAACAGCATACTCCAACCTACTAAAGTGAAGATAAGCAACTTGTGTGAGAATTGCAAGAGGCTCAACAACAAGATTCGGTTCATTCGGTTCATTTGGGCTAAAAAGAAGAACAAGCAGAGAACCCAAGCAGGAAAGAACAGCAGAGGCAAACACAGCAAGGTCACAAAATGTCAAAGCAGAGCCGAGCCAAGCAGAGCCTTGGAGTAGCTTCTTGCTACTAGTAGTAATGCCAGGAGCTACTAGTAGCTTCTTGTTACTAGTGGTTTCACAATGTTTCACGATGCTTCACGATTTTCAATGGCTTTTTTCGCGATTTACTTCATAACGAAGGGTCGGCTCTTCCCATGGTGACCCAAGCTTCGACCCTCCCAGGGGCAAAAAACAGTTCTCGTGCGTCCCGCCAAGATTCTTCCACCACCGTGCAGGCTCTTGCATCTGCAGAGTTGAGCCAATAGGCTTTGGCAGAGCGCATTCATGTCAAAAAGCCGAGTTTCACTTGCCAGCAGTGTTTCCGCATCCATTCACCAAAAGAAGGTAACTAGAGACGTCCTTCCTGCTTCGTGGAATGGAGAAATCACCAAGGTGAAGCCAAATTGGCAGCTGAGAAGTTGTTGCTTTTGCGCGATCTCATCAACGAGACAGCCGGACCATCAGGGGCTGAGGGCCGGAGAAAGAGCGTTCGGACAGGTTGCGTCTCCCATTATACATGCATCATGGCTACCTTTCATTCACCCCAATCACATATATATATATATAGCTACATGTGTTCTTACCGTGTCCCACACACTGTCTCAGGTGACATGCGTGCAGAAACTTCACGAACACGTCACTTTGCCTGTCATGAAATCTGGGTAGGTTAGTCTCTTGTAAAGACTCTGAAATCCATCATGATTGTAACAGGATTTACATGTCTCTTGGCAAGTTAGTAAAGACTCTGATCCTGATGCACTGGGACGGAATTTATGGCACAATACCATCGGCTGAAGCAGATTGTGCAAAGATAATTCCGTTTGTTATTCGTTGCCATCAGGTAGGTGACGCAATCTCCGTCTTCCTTGCAGTGGAGGCCAGGATTGACCCAAATGGACAAACAAACATGTTTCCGGAGATTCCTCTGAAGTGTAACTTTTTTCAAGTGATTCATTTCACTTGCAACTAGGCTCAGGCTTATGAGGCACCATATATGATATACTGTACATATTGGGTCTGTCCTATTACCTGTAACAGTCAGTATACAATTCATCCACTGTAGTGGGATAGACCCAATATAAATAGTGGCCTTGCTGCCTCAAAATTGGGTGATCCACAGCTACCGAACGTGCCACAGCGAAGCACTGACCTCGAGTGATGTGTCGAAAAAGAGGTGACTGGGTTGGGGAGCAGGACCTCGGAGAAAGCTTTCTGGGATATGTTCCATACATGCAAGACTTGTAACAGTGTCACCAATTGCGCAAGCATGATTGCCATTTGTCCATTCAAGCACACCTCCCTGAACGGCACCTTAATCTTGACAGAAAAAACAAGTAAAAATAAAAGAGCAACATAATGTTCAGCAAGAAACGTAAAGCTCGACTTGAGTCGGTAGCAGTCGCTGTCGGAATGTCTCTGCTTGGTGAAACACCATGTGGAGCTGCAAAAAGTACATGAGCTTGCGCTTCTCCTACCAAATGCAAACCTGCGGTATTTTGTATACGCCATGTATGCCATATTTACCGGATGTTTATTGCTTCCCTGAGCAGCACTTGGGAACGATTTCTTGATGTTGCTGGGAAGAGGATGTAACGTTGATGACTTGGTTGCGAAGACAGTCAATTCAAATCCTATCTCGTTGGAAAGCGATTGGAGCTTGGTTTTTTGAGGAGCCAGCAAAGTAGACGAAGATGGAGGGATAGAGGCTTTCATCCCTAAGCCCTAAGCTATTTTAGAGGCTTCACCAAACTGGCAGTTGCCTGCTTGCAGTGCCCCTCATCGCTTCATCAGGGTTCATCATGATGAAAGGTCATCGAATTTGATGATGCGATGAAATGGTCGTGGGTGAAAACCAGGATACATGGTGTTCGGGCTCCAGGTTTTGACCAATTCCCACATGGGAAGCACTTGCACTCAACTGTTTGATGGCGCAAGCAGTCCTCCCGCTGACGGAAAATTGTCATTCCTATCTCCTACTGTGTTTGACATCCAATCTCGCTCAGCATATCCAACTGGTATTACCCACACCTGAAACGCTAGAAGGCATGCCTTGTGCAGCATGAGGTGTGAGCACAATGTAGTTGCAAGTATATATAAATCAGTAACCTGCTTTTTTGTGCCGCCCAGAGAGTTTCTTTGTGAACAAAGTACCAGACAAGATCCGGCATGATCAGGATATTGACTGGATTTGCACCTGATTTGACCAGCGTGCCCTTCGATGAGGCGGTGCTGTACCTGACGGATTTGGACTGCGATGCCTGGCGCGCCTTGGACGGGACGTGTGTTTACATTTTAATACATGAAAAAAGAACACTTCTGGTGAAGCAGTGGCCTGTTGGGGGGGAACATGGGGCGTTGCCCATGACTCATGATGACGAAAATGCCAGCAGAACGTGATTCATGCGCGCGTTGGTCGGAAGCGGTGCCGTTTTCCTCGGCACGGTGGCCGGTGGCGAGCGGTGTGGGGCGGTTTGGTCGGTTTTGGCTTCGAAACGAGTCCGGTTTTGCCAAGGTCAGATGTATGACGACTTGCCCAACCGGCAAATCAAGGCACGGCACGAAATCCACGGCCATCACGGCCACCCAGCTGCTGAACGGGAGCCCCCGGAACCCGGGCCGCTGCGGGTTCGGGCCAAAAAAGGGCGGAAGGCCTGTAAGAGAAGCATCCTCAGTTTCGGAAAGGAGGTTGACACTCCCTGAAATGGTCATGGAAATGGATGGCATGGCTCCTTGGATGACCATTTTCCTTTGCAACCAGCTGGTTTTCCACTTCATTGTTTCAGGCAGGACCATCGCTCCACACAATCTCAGTGTCCATAGCATCTCCAAGCATCTCCTTGGCTCTTCAGGTGGTTGTGAAAGATCGCGGGATCTTTGAGACCTCCGACGCCGAGCGGGTGTGTGTGAAGTCCAGAGCTCAGTTTGGCCGGAACGTGACAAGAGTAACCACTCTACACTGTACACATAACTTGATTGGTGTGCTAGAGTAGTAGCAAGGAAGCTACTAGAAGCTCCTGGCATTACTACTAGGAACAAGAAGCTACTAGTAGCCGAGGGCATTACTACTAGTAGCTAGAAGCTACTAGTATGTGGGCGGTGCCACTTTCAAGACCCCAGTCTTGGAAAGCCGCCTTGGGTTCCGACCGGACTCAAGTCCTGAAAATGCTGGACGCAAGTGACGTAGGTGACGTAAGTAGATGTTTCTCCATCCGCTTTGTACTCCCCTCACACTGCTTCCATGGACCCCTCATACATGTGACAAGACCAACCCCTCGCCTCGTCTTTGCGCCAAACCTGGCGCACCACAAAATATCTATTATCGTTATCTTGCTTGTAACTCAATCTGCCCTTTGCGCGCTCCCCCGTTCGTTCGCACCGGGTCGGCAGAGAAAAAAAGTCATCATGATGATCATGGTCAGCCCTACATGCTGATGTCATTGTCATCATGCTGATGTCATTGTCATCATGATGATCATTGTCATCATGTGTGTCATCATGATGACATAAGACAATGATATAGGACATGTCAATGATCATTGTGTGTGTGTGTCATCATTGTCTGATCATTGCCCTACATGTGTGTCATCAGGACATGTCAGCCCATCAGCCCTTACACCGACAGTTCTGATTCGACTTGTGGATATTGCTGAGGCCTGAAGGCTTGCAGGCTGGGATCGATCAGTGCGTCGCCAAGGCCGGACTGGGCAGACCGAGATGCTGGGCCTTTCCGTACTCTGCTGTACTCTGAACCTCTCTTAACATCTATTTTTGCCTCAGGTCTACAACTTGGGCTCATCATGGTGTTTTTTTGGAATGGGGAGTTTGAGCAAAGAAGCTCTTGCAAATTGAAGAATGTTTGCTGTGTCCGTTCTTTGCTGTGTCAGCTGCAGGTACCCAAAGGCCGGGCCTTTGTACGCTGGAACCTGAGATGAACGAATCCGCTAAGATGATGTCCTTTGACCTGGAACAATGACTGTGTGGTTTGTAGTGTTTTTGTTGGATCCCATGTAAGGGGGTTCAAAAAGCTTCCTGCACCTATCTCTTGACCTTTCCAAGAAACAGCCCGAGCCGCACCGAACGAATCCGCCCTTCATCTCGTTTGATCGGATCGCGAATCCGTTCCCTCTGATATGGCTTCTTTTACGACGAGTCTCCACACGATGTTGGACTATTCATCCGGTGTGTTTCTTTTCTTGTGTGAAAACAGGTCTTGATACATGTCGATGGAGTGCATGTTCTTGTTGTCGTTGGCCTTTTGTATCGTGTGTATAGCCTGATTTATGGCTGGGTGAAACGTGTTCCAACAGAAAGCGGTAGACATTCTACTTTTGGTTGTGTCTTTCTAGTTTGGTGGCGTGTCCATTAGATTGGGCATGACGTGATTCCTTATGAAAGTATTCGACCTCTTTGGTTAGTTGTTACATATTGGATCTGGCTTTCACCATACTCCAAAAGACATTTGAGTCTTGTCATCCCAACGTGCTCATCTTAGAACATATTCATTTCTCAACATATTAATTATCTATATTATGTACTGGTTTTCAAGTTGAGGTTCCATTCCAATTTGGGAGTAATTTAAGACATTGAGTGCATCACTCCTGGACTCTGCTGAGGACCCAGTGGCACAGAGGATGTGGTGAGGGTGGGGCTACCCACATGTCCAGCCAGAGTGCCTTGTAACTGAATTCATCAAAGACTCAAAGATGCACCGAAGTCAAGATGCATCATGGCTCTTCCAAGCAAAAGAAGAGCCGTTTATATACTCAGAAGGACATGCCACTTGAATTATATACATATTGGATCTGTCCCATTACCTGCAACAGTCGGTAAGCAATTATCATTATTTTACAGAAAGGCCTTTTTACTAGCCATCATCATCCGCTGTTACCGGCAATAGCATATGATTTGGGTTTGTCCTATTACCGTAACAGTCAGTAAGCAACTATAACTATTTTTGAACAAGGCCTTTACTATATAACCATCATCATCCACTGTTACTGGTAATAGGATAGACCCTACCCAATATTTAGACATGGTCTCAGACGAAAGCCTGGTGCCAGGTCTACGCCGAGGCAGAGACAGTGGAGGCCATGGTGAGTTTGGCCCAGGACGCTCAACACTTTCAAAGCCTCAAGAATCAGAACTAACTAGACGAGAAGCTCTAGGGGGGCTGAATGTGGTAAGTAACTTAAGTAGCTGGAGCAACTCGGTGGACTGGAGGAAAGAAAGCACCTCGAGTACTTTGAAGTTGCGAAAACAGTAAAGCATACTTTTTCTTGAGTACCATTCTTTGGCGCAGTTGTCTATATACTTTGCTGAAGCCAAGAAACACCAGAGCACGAGTGGTGCACC